TTTTTTTTTTTTTTTTTTTTTTTGCGTCAAGAGTCTTTTTCACCCAGGCTGGAGTGCAGCGGCACGCTCATGGCCACCGCAGCCTCGACCTGCTGTGCTCAGGTGATCCTTCTGCTTCAGCCCTCCAAGCAGCTAGAACTATAGGTGAGCACCACCATGCCTGGTTAATTTTTGCCCAGGCTGGTCTTGAGCCCTTGAAGGTAATCCTCTCGCCTTAGCCTCTACAGGCTTGAGCCACCACACCTGGTTTATTATTATATATTTCTTAAGACAAGATCTCACTCCGTCACATAGCCTGGCGTGCAGTGGCACAATCTTGGCTCACCACAGCCTCAAACTCCAGAGTTCAAGCAACCCTCTTGCCTTAGCCTCCTGAGTTGCTGCAACTACAGGCATGTGCCACCATACCTGGCTGCTTTTATGTTTTAGAGTTGGGATCTCAGTTTGTTGCTCAGTCTGGTTATAAATTCCTGGTCTCAAGCAATCCTCCCACCACAGCCTCCCAAAGTGCTGGGATTACAGGCATAAACTACTGGCTTCATTTTTATTATATTTTTAAGAAACCAAGAGGTGTATTCTTTTCCTCATTCCACAGGTATTTATTTATATACAAGACACTTGGCTTGGTGTTTTTACAGTGCATGACAAAATATGATACCTATTCTCAAATAATTTTTGATTAGTAAGGAAGGTGTTGTATGCATACATGCACATATATGACTGCATATATCCAGACATACAAAAGTTACAAAATGATGAACACTAAAGTATAAATGCTACCTCTTCAGCATTTCATTAAACTTAATAATTCCAAAATTAAACAAATCTGATGCCCTTGTAGTTAGCCCACGTAGAATATTATTTCATTCATTTTTATAATTATTTTTTTGTTCACTCTACCAATATTTTCTTGTGGGTCTAAACAACTTTAGTGATAAGTATCATATAGAGGTGCATATTAACGTGATCAAAACATTTAAAAAATACAGATTTTCTGTGTTCTATTGCAGCACTGTTGCTAACAAAGTCATGAATACAAAGGGTTTATCTAATTTCTTATAAAACATGTATTGTGATCAGCTCTTTTTACTATTCCTGTCTATGCAATTATTCATCCTCATCAAGCTTTGTGCATCTGCTTTGTTAATTATCGATTCGTGCAATGACTGCATAGTATTTCCATTGGGTAGCATCTGCAGCTGTCCGGTTGGTGGCTTTTGAGTCAGCATTGTTTTTACATATCCACCAGAACAATGAACAATCCCATCTTTCTGAGAACCTTCCTTTATACCTGTTTCTTTTTTTCTTTTCTTTTCTTCTTTTTTCTTTTTTTGAGTCAGAGTCTCACTCTGCTGCCCAGGCTGGAGTGCAGTGGCATGCTCACGGCTACCACAGCCTCGACCTGCTGGGGTCAGGCAATATACCTGTTTCTACATGAACCATTAATGCTGAAACAAAATGATTATTTGATTATCAGTTGCTGCTCCATTTTTCAAAGAACCAATTACAAAAATCAAGTTAAAAATGTATTA